CTTCAGGAAATATTAATAATTAGAGTAATGCATTAAAAACTTACTGGGTGTGTTCAAGGCAAATCCACAACCTTAAAGGCATTTATTATTGAATAACAAAGAATGAAAACAAATTAAATGCTCAAATCAGGAAACTGTAAAAGGTATACAATAAAGCCAAGGTGGGTGCCTGGGTGGCTTAGTCATTAAGCGTCTGCCTGGGGCTCGAGGCATGATCTCGGGGTCCTAAGATCGAAGCCCGTGTCTGGGAGCCTGCTTCTCCCTCTCCCTCTGCCCCTCCCCCGTTCCTGTTCACTCTCTCTCCCTCTCTCAAATAAATAAATAAATTTTTAAAAAAATAAAAAATAAAGCCAAGGAAAATCTTTTGGAAACATGTACAAAATATAAAATTATACCCTAATCAATTAGAACAGCAGAATTATGAATGAACTCTATGATCTGGATCTTTGAAAAAACAAATACTATCAATTGGGACAAAGATAAATTTTATACTGCTAGGGTATAACCCACCAATATGGGTAGTAAGCATATGCTTTGCACTCCTACCAAAATAGACTTGAAACATAAAGCAAGAATTGCTAGAACTGCAAGAAGTCTTAATTCTCATGGTAAACCTCTCAGAAATCGATGGATTATATAGACATAAAATATTTGAAGTGTTGAAAGGATTTGAATAATACAGTCAACAAACCTGGTTCAATCAGTTATGGCTAGAACTTTGTTTCAAAACACACAATGCTTTCATTTCAAACACACATGAAATATTCACTAAAACTGACCAGATACTAGGCACAAATAAAACCTCAATAAATTGCAAAACATAAAAATAATTAAATCCACACCGTGATATAATTTCTAATGGGGGGGGAAGAAGTCCCCATCCTCCCCAAACTATCCATCAGGAGATTAAATAACACCCTTCTATGGAACTCTTGGGTTAAATAAGAAATATACCACAAAATTAGAAACAATACAGAAATGAATGAGAATGAGTTCAGTACATATCAACTCCTGCGCAATATGGCCAAAGTAAGACCCAGAGGAAATTTTATAGAATTAAGTGAAAATATTAGAAACCAAAGAAGTCTGTAATAACTGATTCAGCATATGACTCAACAAGTTAGAAAAAGGACAGTAAAATAAGTCCCCCCAAAAGTAGGTTAGAATTACTAAAACTAAAAGAGCTTTAGTGCAATGAACAAAAAAGAAGATCTGATTACCAAAACCAAAAGTTAGTTTGTACCATTTAGGAGTCTCCAAATAAGAGAAAGTTCCACTCAAATAGGCTTAAAACTTGTGTCCTCTCTTCAGTGGTAGCAGCTTCCTCCTGAGTTGGTCCCCTTGTTGAGAAATGGATGCCAACTGCACTGGGTGATATACAGAAATGTTGAATCACTGTATTGTACACCTGAAACTAATCTCACACTGTATGTGAACTAACTGGAATTTAATTAAAAATTTCTAAAAAATGGTTGCCAACAGCCCATATCCTTCTGCTTTCTCACCCACATTCAGAGAAAGAGTGTGTATGTCTCTCCTCTAACCATGCCTTATGCTGGCTGGGTAACCCAACTGGAGCCAGCTGTCTGGGGCACTGGACTAGGCTAACTCGGTCAGACTCCTGGGTGCTGGGAGTGTGAGAGCTTCACCCTGAAGAACATGAGCAGCATGGCAGAGTGGGAGGGCTACAGACCAGGACCTGGGGTAATATGAGGGAAGGATGGATACCATAAAGCTAAACAATAAGGTATACCAGATGGATTTTTTTAAAGATTTATTTATTTATTTGAGAGAGAGAGAGCAGCAGCAGAGGGAGAGAGAATCTCAAGCAGACTCCCCACTGAGCGTGGACCCAACACCGGGCTTGATCCCACGACCCTGAGATCATGACCTGAGCCGAAATCACAAGTTAGACACTTAACCGACTGAGCCACCCAGGCATCCCTACCAGATGGATTTTTTAAAACACCTATGAAATAGACAAAAATTTGGCAATTCTAATCTTTAATAATTAAGAAAGGGGAAAGAATACATATATAAATAATATTAGAAATGGGAAAGAGGCCATAGGTTCAAATTTTATCCATCAGTTTGAAATGTAAGAATCTAAGCTAAAGTAAAGTGATTTTCTATACTAAAATTACTGCAAAAAGAGGTGGGAAACCCAACTAGGCCAATAACTATACAAGATATTTTTTGAATAGTCAAAGATTTGTCTGTCCCTTTAAAAAAAAAAGCCATCAGACCCAGTGAGTTTTATGTGCACAATCTACCAAACCTCAGGAACAGATAATGCTGGCATTGTATAAATTGCTCTAGGGCATAGGAAAATACTAGAAACCTTCTCAACATGGTTTAAGAGGCTACCACAAGCAATGACACCAAACTTAACAAATGGTGGGGCAGAGAGGAAAAGTGGAGACCAATCCAACTTTAGGGCAGAAATTCTAAACAAAATGCCAGCAAATAGAATCCACAGTGTATTATGGGATCTATCTAAGAAATGTACTAAGATCTAGTAATGAATTTCATTATGTGAACAAATTAAATAAGAAAAACCATATAATCTATCTTAATAGTTCATTACTGTGTCACCAAGGCCCAAAACAGTGCCTGGCACAGTGAAGTCTCCCAGTAAATATCTGTGAAGCACATGAAGGCTGAGGTCAGGGTCAGCACATGGACCCGCACCATTACTGCCACTATTTTACACTGTGTTAGCGGTCACAGGCAATGAGATAACAAAAGAAATAAATGGTAGGATTTTCAAAAAGGATACGACGTAACTCTCACCATTTTAGGGAATTTGATTAGCCAAAAATAAGCCAAAAGAATCCACTGAGAAACTGCTGAATTAAATAAGTCAGTTTTGCAAGATGACCAGGAATCAAGATCACTGTTTTTTTTTTTAAATCAGCAGCTTTAAAATACCTAACATATAAAATTAGAAAAAAAAATATAATGGGAGGAGATATCATCCACAATGAATATAACCAAAATTTGCAAAATACTTAGAAATAAACTCAATATTTTTCCAGACATCCATGAATGGAAGAGCCGAATGAATGGAGATATATACCATACCCCTGGTTAGGAATTCAACGTTGTAAAATTAGTCTGCATATCTAATTTCAATTCAAATACCAATAGTATCTTTAATGAAAACTGACAAACTGATTGTAAAGTTTACATGGAAGATAAACTCTGTAGATTAGGCTCTTTTTTTTTTTTTAAAGAGACCTTTTGCTACCATTTAACAAAACGTAACCTAAAGCTGTTTGAAACAATACAGCACTGACCCAGGGACAAACAGATCAGTGGGAAAACAACAGAGGTTTCAAAAACATACACATGGATATGTTAAGATTTCCTTATTATAAATGCAGATATTCAAATCAGCAGGAAAAAGACAGGCGCTACAAGAAATAGTATCAATGGGATTGGCCCTCCAGTTGGAAATAGAGTTGGATCCCCACCTCACACCACACATAAAAAGAAATTTCAAACGGATTACAGAGTTATGCATAAAAAATAAACGTATTGAAATAAAAAGAAATATGGGAAGATAGCTTTTATAATCTGGAGATGGAGAAGACCACCTTCAGCTAGGCACAAAACCCATAAAGTAAGTAAAGACTGACTGATTTGATTCCATAATAATTTTATTTAAGAAAAAAAGATTTAGGGGCGCCTGGGTGGCTCAGTTGGTTAAGCGACTGCCTTTGGCTCAGGTCATGATCCTGGAGTCCTGGGATCGAGTCCCATATCGGGCTCCCAGCTCAGCGGGAAGCCTGCTTCTCCCTCTGACCCTCTTCCCTCTCATGCTGTTTCTCTCTCTCTCTCTCTCAAATAAATAAAATATATTAAAAAAAAGGAAAAAAAGATTTATTTATTTGAGAGAGAGAGAGCACAAGCAGGGGGAGGGAGAGACAAACGGAGCAGCAGGCTTCCTACCAGGCAAGGAGCCGATGCGGGGCTCGATCCCAGGATCTCCGGATCATGACCTGAGCCAAAGGCAGACACTTAACCTACTGAGCCACCCAGGCACCCCTTGACTCCATGATAAATTTAAATTTTAAAGGTCTTTATGGAAAACTTCCATCATTCCCTCCATTCCACATATTTCTAAAAGATAAAGAAATGTTTGTAAAATAATTGACAAAGGCTTAGTGTTCAGAAAAGATAAAAACTTTCCTAAGAAAAAGAAAAGCAACCCAATCTTAAAAATAGGCAAAGCGTATGAATAGAGGATTTACTAGAGAAAAGGCGTATCTTTTCATCAATAAACACACGAAAAGATACTTTTCCAATCAGGAAAATACAAATTAAAACAGCAATGATATAATAACGTTCTATCATTGGATTGGGCACATTTTTAAAGATTGATAATATCCATCTTTAGCAAAAGGGGAAACGTTCACTCTCCCATGCTGTAGGTATGAATGTAAACTGGCTCAGCTTTGGGGAGGAATACTCTTTGATCGTACTCATCCAAAATTATTAAATTTGTGTGTCCTTCGATGACTGTCCTGCCCTCAGCCCACTCCCAGGAAGAGAGGTGCAGAAAAGTTTCAGAGTGCCCTCCCCCCGCCCCACCACATGCACGCAGCCCTGCCGCCAGGCTGACGAGTCCGAAACAGCCTAAAACCTGGTCCTGGTTACAGAGCCTACGTCCCAGCCGCACAGAACACGTGCAGTAATGTCACACGATGACTAGCTCTAAGTACTGACGGAGAAAGTTTGTCAACGTGTGTAATTTTTTAAAAATGTGGATTATGAACAAGACATATAAAACCCCACTTATTTTTTAAAAATCATAAAGACATTTTATTTAAGGATGCCAACAGATTACTCCTGGGGAAGGGAGCAGCACTGGTGGTGGGAGGTGGTTGGGGGGGGTGGAATCTTTACATGTATTTCTGAATATTTTCAGTAAATCACAAGAATGTATTCAGATATTGCCTATAATTTAAAAAAAAAAGTTTTAAAGATAAAAACATAGATGATGAACATGTAATACTTCTGTAAGCAGTTTTTAGTGCCATTAAAAAAAAAGAAAGAAAGAAAGAAAGCTAAATTTGGAGCACTTTAGGTGAGTCCTTCCTACAGTCAGCCTATGAGGCATGTTTCAGCTGCTCCCTTGCTGCAGGCCCACTTTACAGATGAGGAAACTGAGGCCTCAGGCCCAGGCCCTTTTCCTATGCCCCTGCACTAGTGACATCGTAAAAACCATCAGCCTCCACTCTGGGGACCCTGCTGACAGAATTCATTCCAGGAGTCCCTGCCCTCCCACCCACCCTCAACCCCCCAGGGTCACCCAGAAAAGAGAACAGAGCCAGCTCACATTTGTACAAATTTAATTCCTGCTCTCCTGGTCCCCAACTCCAGAGCCCTTCTAGGCCACACTTCCCTTCTCCTGGTCACCCAAGGCCTAGTCATCCACCACATCCCTCCCCACTGGGATCCAATGCAGAGCCCCATCTCCCAGGGGCCACTCTTTCCCCACCTTGACTCCTGTTGAATACAGACACATGACCTTGGTCTAACCTTGATCTGGACCCATCCAGCAGAGGCAAAGCAGGAAGAAGAAGAGAGAGGGGCGATCAAGGACCCATCTGGGGCTGCAGCAGCCAGAACAGGAGTAGGAACCAGGCGGAGGTTTGGGGGCCTGAGAGAGCCCCACTGCTTATTTGCTTCTTGATCCACTTGCTGTATTTGGTGACACGGGTGTACACGCCTGGGTTCTCTGCTTTGGCACAGGCCTTTTCCCAGGACAACACCCCAGCCAGAATCCATCTGCCCTCGACTTCACAAGCCAATGGGCCCCCAGAATCCCCCTAGGTAAAGAGAGAAGAATAATGGAAGCTCTGGGCCCCACTGGGACCCAGGACCCCAGAGGACCCAGGATGCCCACCCTCTGACTTCTCTTGGAAGATTCTTTCACTCCCTGAGGATCTCACTACATCCTCCAGCTCCCCCTTCAGCTCCTCAGCTGTAGACCCATCCCAGAATATCGGGCAAAATCAAAGTCCCAGGGGAAGGAAAATGGGAGCAGAGCACTACCTGGTGATGGTGACAAAGAGGGAAGCCAAGCAAACGCCTCCCCGGAAATTCCCCCCTACACCCTGGGAGTCGCTCCCAACCGAAGAGCTGCCAGGACCTCCCAGAGACTCACAGAGCACAAGTTTTCTCCATAATTGGTGGCACAGATCATGTCCCCCAGGACAAGGGGGACAAGGTGGGGGATGGGGGACTTCTTGCGGTAAATCTGGTCACACTTCTCGTTGTCCATGATAAACACCTCAGCCTCCTGCAGCTCTGCGGTCAGTGTGGAGTTCGCTGTGGAGGAGCCCAGCGTGGTGAGAAAGGACTCCTCACTCCACTCAGCCCTGGCCTCTTGCCAGGGCCCCGTCGCCTCCATTTCTGAGACTCAGCCAAGCCACGCCCCTTCTCACCCCCATGCCCTCCTTCACCCGTCTGTCCCCCTGCGGTGGGGACCATGTCTGGCAAGCCCCTCACCCTCTCAGGCTCTCTTTCCCGATCCCTTTCTCTGGGAAGCTTTGGCTTCCGAACCAAGCGGACCACAATCCAAGTTTCAATGCAACCACTCACAAACTGAGACCCCCAACCACGTCCTGCTTCTCTCCGGCCTCTGGTTGTGCCCTCTGTCACCTGGTTACACTCGCTCCCCCCCTCTGGCATCTCAGATAGACCCCCTGCCCAGAGCTCATCCCAGATCCCTCCCAGCTTGATCTCAAGGTCACCTGACAAAGTCTTTGCCTCTTTCCTCGTCAGCCTGGGCCCCCACCCACCCTCAGTGACGAGTGCCCTGCAGGTAAGACACGTGTTAACTGACGTGAAGGGTTTGGTGTGCGGCAGACGCTTGGGGCTTGTCAGGTGAATGAATGAGTGGGCGAGTAAATGTAGAGTTCCCTGACTCTGAGCTGCCGTAAGAGGCAAAAGATCATGCCCAGCCCAGGTGCTGCTAGACCTGGGTGAGGTGCCCACAGCAAGCACAGTGGTGTAAACCATAAGAATGGTTTCCACATGAGGTGAGTCCTAACACATCCAAAGAACCAGGGCCCGGAGGTAACAGCCACAAGCTTCCTGGGAGGCACCATGAAGGGCTCCAGCAGGCAAGGCCCCAGAAGGAAGGCGGTGCCCCCTCTGTGGTTCTGCACCCCACCCTCGACCCATCACCTCGTGCTCACCTGAGAAGCGCTGTTTAACCTGGCCCCAGCCAGTCACCCAGCACTGGGTCCCAACCTTGAGGTTGTAGCTGGGCTCCGGGAGGCAGATGGGCTGCACATACTTGCTGAAGGTGGCCGGGCTGTGAAGCTGGAGAAGGGCAACATCCCCCATGATGAAAGTCCGGCCCCAGAACTTGGGGTGCATGACGATGTCCTTCACAGGGATCAAGGCAGGCTGCAAGGGCTTCAGCTTGGAGGTGCCAAGAATCACTGAGTATTCTTTGGTGCTACAAGGAGACATACAGCCCCGGCTAGTAGATGTCAGGTTCGCAAACAACACAATGCTCCTACCTCCACCGAAGACCCTCTCCCTTGGCAGAAGCCCTGCATGATTTGCTCTGCTCACTCCATCTTCCTAATCCAGCCTGGAGGCTCTCAGGGTCAGAGATATGACTGACTGCCTCCCCATTCACTGTCCAAGTCGATCCAAGGTGGCCTCATCTATGTGCAGCATACGCAAGCACGCAGGTGTCGGTACATGTGTATGTTCTCGTGTGTGTGAGGGGTGGGGGGTGTCTGAGGTGTAGGGGCTGTCTGCTGGCTTTTCCTGCTGCCCTGCTCAAGATACAGTCTTTGTTGCTTGGGGCTCCTGTGAGACCCTGAGCAGGACTCTTCCCCATCCTGGATATCCCTCCCTCCTCCCCCTCACCTCCCGACTCCCACACTGTTTCACAGAGGAAATGGGGGGGATGCGCTAGGCCCATGGCAGCCCCGGGTCCCCAGGCTGGGGACACAGGAGCCACACTCACCCTTGGATGCAGTGGGCAGCAGTCACCACCCAGTTGAGTTCAATGAGGGCCCCTCCACATATGTGCTCATTCTCCAGCCGGAGGCTCACCTCCCAGGGCCAATGGCGGGTCACGTCCAAGTCCTCTGACCACCAGGGTCTGCCACAAACTTCAGGAACAATGTGCCAGAGAGACACAGTGACCACATATTGGAGGATGAGAACAACTGAGACCAAGATGCCCCCCACCCCAGGACAATGTGCCCAAAGCTGTAAACCAGGGGCTTGTCCCCATTTCAAAGATGGGGAGACAGGGTGAGAGAAGGACAGAGGCACTGTGCTAGACAAAAAATGACAGTGACAGAGGTACAAGCCTTCAAGACAGAGACATAAAGACATCACAGGGGAGAGAGAGATACTGAGACAACAGGGAGCAATTAGCAGGGAGCCCCAAAACAAGGGAGAAGCACAGAAGGAGCCCCGGGACAAGCCATGCATTCTCTTGTGTCTGGCTTAAGTCCCGAGGCCATGTTCCTGAAGGGCCATAATGCTCGCTGCATCTCTTAGATGCAGAAGGCCTCTGTCCCCACATTACTCGTAGCTGAGCAAATTTCCAGACTTCTGTGTCAGAAATCGTTACACAGGCCATTCAAGAAAGAGCCTCAGCATGGAGCCCACAGAGGTCCCCCCACTCACAGCTTATATAGTCTTTGTCTGCACGAAGTTCCAACACAATCAAGTGGTACGGCTGTATGAACGAACACAGATGCAAAAATTTCTAAATAAAATATTACTCAACATTATATTTTGAAAAAATAATGCACCACGATCATGTAGCGATTGTCCCAGGAGTGCAAGGGTGGTCCCACAATGGAAAAGCCCTCAGTGTATTTGCCACATAAACGGTTCTTTTTCTCTAAAGATCATATGCTCTTCTCAAAAGACATAGAAAAAGACATTTGAAAAATTCAACACATATTTATGACTAAAAAAAAAAAAACAGAAACAAAAACACCTCTTACTTAGTTTGGAACAGAAAGGAAATCCTTAACTTTATAAAAGTTAGAGACCACAAACCTACAGCAAATACCATATAACATTAAGGAACAGGCAAAGAGGTTCTATACGGTCAGAAGCCAGGAATAATGGTACTTTGTGGGAGGAAGGCAGGGGAAGTAAACGAGAGAGCATAAGGGAGATTTTGGGGGCTGGTATAGCTCTACTTTCTGACCAAGACAGTAAGTAACACAGGTGGGTTCACTGTGTGATAATTTCCTAGGCTGGACACTTAAAATTTGTGTACTTTTGTGTGTGTATATAATATTTCAACAACTTACTTTTTAAATCAGTTACTTTTCTACTCCAGCACAATCAACTAGAAAATATATTCAAAATATATCTTATCTTCAATAACAAAAAATCATAAGTACCAAGAAATTAACTTATCCAACACTATGCCAGATTGCTGTGGTGATACATTTAAAACTCTAATAAAGAAAAAAATAAATAAAGCCCTAATAAAGGACACTGAAAATGATCAGCATAAATGGAGAGACATCCCTTGCTTTTAAATAAACAACTAAACATTTCATGGTGTACTTTTTCCCAAAACTAATTGATAAAGTCATTTTCCAAGTTAGAATTTTAGGAAACTTTATAAACTTACTCCAAAATTGAAGTAGAAAAACGAAAGTCCATGAATAGCTCAGTCTCTGAAAAAGTAGAAAATAAAGGGACACTTGTCCTAGCAGGTATCAAGACACATATCAAAGCCATAACAGCAAAAACAGTGTGATATTGACAAGGACAGACAAATGAAGCAATGGAAAAGAATAGAGAGCTTGAGATTGTTCTGGGGACAAAGGAACTTAATGTAAATTGAGATTGTTCTGGGGACAAAGGAACTTAATGTAAATAAAGAAGCCACCACCATCAGTGGGTGAAGGATGGATGTTGAGTAGATGGTGTTGGGAAAACTGACTCACTATAAGAGATTTAGGAAAAACAAAACTGGATTCCTCCCTAGCAGCACTTGGAGATCTAAATAGGAAAGTGAAACTCTAAAGTTAACAGTAGGCTGTATGACATGGGGGTGAGAAAGGGCTCCCTAGACAAAATCTCAAAACAAACCATAAAAACATCAAATTGATTAATTTTATTACATCAGAATCAAGGATTTCTTTTTTTACCCTGGGAATAAAGTTAACTGGCAGATGACAGATTGGAAGGCAATATTTGCAATATCGAAAATCAATACAAGGGTGCCTGGGTGGCTCAGTTGGTTAAGCAACTGCCTTCGGCTCAGGTCATGATCCTGGAGTCCCGGAATCGAGTCCCGCATCGGGCTCCCTGCTCAGCGGGGAGTCTGCTTCTCCCTCTGACCCTCCTCCCTCTCATGCTCTCTCTATCTCATTCTCTCAAATAAATAAAATATTTTTTAAAAAAATTTTAAAAATTTTTAAAAAATTTAAAAAAGAAAATCAATACAAGACTTTTATTAGGCATATACAAGGAGCTCTAGGAAATCAACAAGAAAAAAAAGAACAGATAATATGCAAAGGAGGACAGGCAATTTATTAGAAGAAGAAACTCAAGAGGCCAGAAGCATACTGAGACAGGCTGAAACCCATTCACAATGAGAAAAATGTCAATTAAATCAAGAAGCCATTTAAAATCGGCAAAAAGATATAAAAGCTGCATCGTACCATGGTTGGTATGTCTGTAACAATATTACACCTTTATGAACGGCTGGTAGGAATGCAGAGAGCTGGCCACATTAGATTATGGACAGTACATAAAAGCACTGTATCAATGTACATTTTTGAAGTTGAGAAGTGGTTTATAAGTGATAAGTGAAGTTGATCAGTTGACACTGTGGTTATCTAAGGGAAGAGTCATAGAAAAAAGCATGCCTAGGTATTTAGAGATCAGGAGTCAGGCTGTATATTACCCTCAACTGATTCTGAAAAAATTACATATGTGTTCCTTGACCTAGCTGTATTTTTTTTGCAGTGTTTTGTAAGTTTAAAATTATCTCCAAATTAAAAAAAAAAATTTTTAATGGAACTGGTGAAAAGAGGAGGAGAGAGAAAGAGATCTAGAGTATACACCATTTATGTAAGTTACAAATACATGCCCACAAAACCACAATATGTATTTTGACAAGAACACACAGAAGCAGACACACATTGAACATACCAGAAAGGTTGGGTGAGGAGGGGGAAGAGCAGCAGGGCGCGGACATCAGCAGGAATAACTAATTTCATCAACCAAACAATTCATAACCAATCAGGGAGGACCTATGACATTGGGAGCCCATGAACCAGTGAGCAACCTAACCCACCATACCTGACGTCTAAGGAAAAAGGCCCTTTAGCAAGCAGGCCCTTCAGACTAAATTCCTGCTTCCTCCGGACCCAGAAACACTATCTCTGTGACCCTCTTCAGAACACATCCTCCCAGCAGCTGAGGGTTTTCTGAAGCAGCGGCTCACCCTACCCACCTGGTATGGAAGTGTTTTCTTTATAACCTGGAGGAGAAAAGGGGAACAGAGATGAAGCAAGAGATCACGAATTAGTTCATTCGTTAGTTCACCAAATATTCCCTCATCTCCCACTCCATTCCCAGCCAAGACCAGCGGGGGGACAGAGTGTACCAAACAGGTAACACGCTGTCCAGCAGCGGAGACGGAAGTAAACAAAACCACCTGTGTGAGATCAGTTCAAGCACAAGGCCACAGGTTTCAGGAGAGCCCAGAAGAAGTGGGGGACAGGAGGCTCCTGAGAAGCGGGGTTATTGTGCCAGATGTTAAAGACGGAAAGAAGGAAAAAAAAAAAACAAAACAGAAAAGTGACAATGGCATTCCTTGCAAAAGAAACACCATGGTGTATGCCAGAGCCTCCAGAGAATAAAGGACAAGGCCAAGGATGGCAAGAAATGATGGAGGAAGAGTCAGGGGTCAATCACCAGGGGCCTCATAAGCCAGGCCAAGAAGCCAAGAGACCCTCTGGGAGGAGGGAGGCCGGTGGAAGGGTGACATAGTCAGGCTTGGAGGGTGAAGAGTAAGTAGGAAGGTGACGAGACCGCAGGCCGTCCGATCCCACCAGAGCCTCTGCAGGACCCAGCAAGAAAGGAGGTGGTCTAAATGAGGAGGCGGCAGTGAGAACAGACCTGGTGAGCTGGATGTGGGAGGCAGGCAGATGGCTCCGTCTAGGATGACCCCCAGTTTCTGCTTTTAGAGAGGAGTGCCTATTATCCACCGCCTTAGCGAGCAGAGTAAGAGAACCCAGTTTATAGGAAGATGAGAGGCTCCGCTTTGGACCCCAGGGAGCTGAGATGTTTCTAGGTCATGCAGCAGGCCGCTGCACTTGCAGATCCGTTGCTCTGTGAGGCAGCATCACAGGAATTGCAGCTCAGGGCCCGGGGCAAGCGAAAAGGGAACCCAGACAGCACGGCAGGGAACAGGCATGAACAGAGCATGGCTGGCCTGGGAAGCACGCCGGGAGCAGGAGAGTTATCCTGAGGCAGAGGCGAATCGGGAGGCACGCCTGAGAAGCCAAGGGCCTCGAAAAAATGAAAACGGAGGAAGTGGTAGAACGGTCGGGGACGCGGCAGGAATGGGCCAAGGATTCAGGGGGAAGTGAGGAAGCCCTGGAAGGAAGCCTGAAGTGGAAACTGCTACTTCGAGAAATCTGGCATTGAGGGGGAAGGGACGGGGAGAAGAAACTACAACGAAGAGGAGGGGATGAAGATGTGCAAGAATTTGACGGAGGAGCACGGCGCGGGGAGGGCCTGCCGCGCAGAGCAGGGTGAGCGCGCTGACCTTGAACAGGAGGTAAGTCTCTGATTGCTAAAGAAACGGGGTGGGGGGGAGGACCGCGTCGAGTCGAGGCTCGGAGGGGCCCCTGGGGGCTGGAGGCCGTCAAGGGGGACAGCACCTGGGGGCCTGCGTCTTCGGGGTGAATGAAGCAGCGGCGAGCGGGGAGCCAGGGGGAACAGAGGCCGGGGATGAAGAGGGCCGGTGGGAGCCAGGTTTCAGCGCAGGGAGGCCACGGGAGGCCTGCCCGCAGCGCATGCGCAGCGGCCTGCGGCGGCGGGAGAAGAGGAAGCGGGAGACCTGACCAGGCCCCGACAGGGCGGCTAGGGTCTCAGCCACGACGTCCGCGGGCATGGACTGGGGAGGAAGTGGCTGCGCGTCGGGAGAAGATGCGGGGGGTCCTCGGCACTGCTGGTCCCCAGGAGGCGGCAGGGCGCGTGGCGCCTGAGGGAGGAGGCCAGAGCGGGGCGGGCAGGAGTCTGGCGACATCCTGGGGGGTGACAGTGGAGGACAGGGGACCAAGGGGGGGCACAGAGTCCCACGGGCCAAAGAGCTAGCAACGCGCTCAAATTCGTTGACGGGGGGATGGGAGGCAGAGGGGAGGGCAGCGGGGGTGGGGTGGGTACAGGGAAGGTGGCAGACGGGGCGGACGGAGGGACACACGCTGGCAGAGGAGGCGCCGTCCTACCCGAGGTCAGAAGCGGCAGCAGCAGCAGCAGGATGCAGCGGCTCAGGCCCCAGGGCCCCGAGGCTCGAGGCCCAGCGCTGCGGCTGAACGTCAAGGCGGCCATGAGGCCCAGGAGGTGCCACCTAACGGGGCAAACACGGCGCCGCGAGCCCCGGCAGGTGATGGCGACCCTGCCGCGAGCAAGGGCGCCTCTAGCCCGTGATGGAGTTCCGGGCGCATGACGGCCGCGCCAGCCCGGGACAACGCCCCGGACATTCCCCCTGCACCCATGGGCGCGTCTCCTGCATCCGCACCCACACCTCGTGCCTGTTCCTTGAAGATGGCCTCGGAGCCCGGAATCTGAGATTGCCTCCAGGGTGGCCAACTCCATGAAAGCACCCCCAATTGCTTTAAGTTGGGGACGGTGTCCCCCATCTCTGGACCTCTGAGGGTACCTTTGTGGCCCAGCCTCTGACACACCCTTGGTCCCCTGGGCTTGGTGCATGGGAAAGGTTTGCAAGTTATGTTGATCTGAGAATCTGAAAAGATGTGGGAAGCACAAGAAAGGAAGAGTAAGGTGAGGGAATCCGGGAAGATGTCTTTAGGAAACTAACATTGGCGCTGGATCTAACACTGGAATAAGGAGTCTTGGGGAAGTCCTGAGAGAGGAAAGGCATTCCGCTTCTTCCACAGACAACCGATCAGATGGTCGCACCTGAAAGAGATGGTGGTGGATGCCAGGCCATCACAGAGCGATTTTGCAGGATACAGTCTTTGCATCTGCTGGGTGTGGCAGAATCAGGAACAGACCACCAAGATTCCTGCTTCTCTTGTCTAGTGGCAGGGAGGGGGCGTCCAGTTCCAGGGTCCACATAATGAGTTCCCACCACTGACAGGTGAGTGGAAGTACTGTGTGCCACTTCCACGTCACGGTGGTCAAGAGGAGGATGCCTTCTCTACTCGTGTTCATGCCGAGCAGTGGCGCCCAGAGCGGCAACACCATCACCTAGAGCTTGTTAGAGATGTAGTTCTCAGGCCCGCCCCAGACCTACAGGACTGAAAACTCGGGGAGTGGAACCAGTGATGTCTATTTTACCAAGCCAGAGAGAGAGAGAGAGAGACGCTGGGACACTGAGCCAGAGAAAGAGGGTACAGAGCCAGTGCCTAATACAATACATCTCACTTGCCTTCTGCCCAGTAGGAGCACAAATGTTTAACAAAATGGAGGGGACAGGGCACCTGGGTGGCTCAGTCGGTTAAGTGTCTGCCTTCAGCTCAGGTCGTGATCCCAGGGTCCTGGGACTGGGCTCCTTGCTCAGTGGGGAGTCTGCTTCTCCCTCTCCCTCTCCCTCTTCCCCTCCCCTGGCTTGTTCTCTCTCCCTCAAATAAAAAAAATCTTTTAAAAAAATTAAAAAACAAAGTGGAAGAGGGGACAGCAGCAACAAATGGAAGAAGCAGAAGAGATGGAATATTTCTCATGCCCTAACTTCATTCTTGCTCCCAGCTCTGGTCTCTTGTGATCCTGTCTTCGGAGCTGCAGGGGCTGTGAAATTAAGCTCCAAAGCTCCAGGCAGACATGCAGAGTACAAGGAGCAGGACCCAGCTAGCTAAAACCATGCACAGGACTCCCATCCGAGCAGGTGGGGACTCACCACACCCTTGAGGGCTTAACAAAAACCATGAATACATCCTTTGCTACATGGGAAACTAGTTCTCTACAGAGTATGTCATAAGCAACCCCACAACTTTCCGGAGACCAGAACTTAGAACAAACAGGAACTTACTCCAAACATTTATTCGGTTGATGTCAGAACTCTCCGCACTCCATCACTGCCTCCACGCACCTCGGGGCGAGCCTGGATGGGGCCACTCGGGACTGAGGAAGGGGGCCCCATCACAGGGCTGCCCCAGGAGGGCCTGTGTGCCACAGGCTGGCCACGCACGGCTGGATCCGCGCGGGGGGCAGGGGAAATGTCTCCCAGCCCCAGACAGCCCAGTCAGATGTGGAAACCCCAGGCCTCACAGCTCAGCAGGGACATGGTGATGCCTCCTCCCTCTCTCTGCACAATCTGCAAGCTGCCCGCTTCGACCCAGTCTCGGGTGACAGCCTGAGACCACAGCCAGGTCCAAGGCTGCCTCACTGCTCATGAGGCGTCTTCTCTGGTGGAGACTCTCCAAGATGGCAAGGAAGCACCGGGCTCCACCTGGCAGGTCGGCTGGCTCTCGGGCTGGGATGCTTGACCCCCCTCCTTCGGGGCAGGCAGGGCACAGCCAAGGTCGTGGGTGTGGCCGAGGCAGGTGACCAAGGGCATCAGGCTGGGACACTTTCGGGGCTCCAGCCTCACTGCCACTTTCCACTGTGGGGCTCTCTCCAGGCTCAGTGGACGCCAAGCAGAACTGGAGGAAAGGGCATTTGAGTAGGAGTGGGGGGTCGGAGGAGAGGCCCAGTGCGAGACCCGGAAACAGGAGGGGGGTGGGCCGGGGTGCTCACGGGGCCACCAGGGTGCCCAGGGGCAGCAGCAGACACAGAAGTGGGAAGGAGCCTGCTGAGTCCCAAGAGCAAGCCTGACTCAAGTGATCAATGACCCAGTCCTTGTAGAAACTAACCTCTGTATAAACTCCAGGATAATTTCTGCGACCGCAGCCAATGCCCCAGCTCACAATCCCCACCTGGACCCATGTTTCATTAAGTTCACAGACCAGGGGCCCCCCAGAGTCTCCCTGGAAAAAGAGAAAGAAACAAACACAGAAATGGAAGAGAATCAACATCAGAACTGGCGAATCGCGCTGCGAGGCTTGGGGAGACGGGCACACGTGGGGCTTCCCCAGGACTCCCCTGAAGGCTCCACAAGCCCTAGGTTTCTGGGAATATTTGAGAGTTGAAAACTAAGTGAAAACTTGAACAACCTCTGAGAAATACTCCTGCTTCCCATGTGCTCGTGGATGCACACAAGATACATAGCCAGTAGGCCCCAGGGCAACAGTACTGTTAATAGTGTGTTGAAATCCTCTTCGAATGCCCCTGTTCCTCCATTGCCCCTGACCTGTCCCCCATGGTCCTCTCCAAGCCTCCCATGACCCAGCAACCAAAGGGGTACCCCCTGGCACAGTACGCAGCCTCCAGAGCCCTACTCCAGCTCTAAAGCTCATGTCTGTTCTGATTGGCCGGTCCTGGGCCTCCACGGATGTGAAATGCTTTGAATATCAACCCTGCATTGGAGGATCCCATAATCCTCACCTCCGATCTGAAATACCCCCTGACCTTAAACCCGCAGAGCCAACACCACACACACATCAGTTCCCTGTCTCCAGACTATCCCAGACATCCCATATACACCCCCATCTGATGCAGAACCCTGCCTGTCCTCTCCCAGACCTGCTCTGGGGCCCCCGCCCCCACCAGCCAGCTCAGACAGAAACAGAGAGCCCTCCTAACTTCGCCCCCGCCCCCACCCTCCCAGCAGGCAGTCACCAAGAACTCACGACTCAACCTCAGACACACCTCCTTCACCCCCTCATCGCCCCGGGTCCTGCTCGGGACCCCACATCATCGCCTAGATGATGGAAACAAACACCTAGCCTACAGTCCTGCCCGGATGGCATTGAGAAACTCAGCCCAGCGCTCCAGGCCACACGGATTCTGACTGCGGCCCTCTTCTCTGGCCACCTCATTGCTCCAGACCTGGAAGACAGGCCCTACACGTGACAGGTTCCCTCAGACCTCGGAGCCGCTGTCCGCGCCGCTCCCTCTCCCTACAGCGCTGTTCTCTTTCCAAGAAATCCAACTACTCATCCTCTGAGACCCAGCTCAAACGCCCCCTCCTCTGGAAGGCACTCGGAGCAGGAGGAAGACGGTGGGCCCAGGAGGCCTGCAGGCACGCACGGGGGTCCCTGAGCTAGCACCTTGGGACTGTCCCTCATCTGTGTGACAGGTGTGATGTCTATGTGGCAGGCTTAGGACAGGGGTTAACAGAGCTCATGGGGGTAAATGCCCCCACTGGCTCACACAGGAAGTGCCACATAGGGGGAACTCAATTCCAGGAACGTAGAGTATTAGGACTACCCGCCCCCAACTGCCCCACACCTTGGCAGCGCCCCCAGGCAGCAAGGAGCAGGCCAGGCCAGCTCCCGGGAGCCACGAGGGGTTCTCCCCACGAATCTCCTTCACTAAGGAGGGGAAGGAGGATGTGGCAGATCACGCAGGCCCTGGCACTTGGGAATGAGGAAGCCTGGGGGGGCGGGGGGGACATTGTTACCGAAGAAGCCACAACAGAGCCAGGAACTGACCTTGCAGAGACTCTTCCCTTCTCGATAGCCACAGACCATCCCTTTTTGCACTAGGTTGCGAAATGTTTGTGACCGTGTCCGCCGTATCTTGTTACATTTCTTGTAGCGAAGAATGAGTTGCTCGGTCTCCTGAAGACAAACTGACACAGGTGCTGGAGCGACAAAGTCGGGGTCTGCGTGAGTGGGCAGCACAGGAGCCCCTCAAACCCCCTCTGTGCCCTCACGCTCTTGCCGCCTCAGAGGCGTCGGGGCAATGGATACTGTCCCATTGACAGGAGGGAACGGAGGCTGTAGGGGGTGAGGGGAGGGGGAGAAGAAGAAGTAAGAAAGGTCATGACAGGAGAAGGAGGGACCCCTCAGGACAGAAAGAGCCCAGGCCTTACGAACCGGAAGAGAAGAGCAAGCATCACTCTGAGTCCCAAGAGTAAGTGACAAGTGTCCTGTGCCGAGCAGAATCACAGACTCTCAGACAGGGAGTGCCCCCAAAGCTTGCAGTCCAGCCTCTTCCCCGAGATAGGAGGCCCTCCAGCCTCCCCAGGAGGGTTGCTCTGGTTCAGCCCACACCCCCTGGCGTGAGCAGCTCCCTCCCCACCAAGCAGGGACTTCCATGGAGGGGCAGCTCTGACTGGCAGCCAGCTCATCCCCCCCGGAGCTGAAATCCATGAACAGAACCCACCATCCCTGGCCCCCAAGCCCCCACGTGCTAACATTCTCACAGCAATTCTTGTTTTAAAGATTTTCTTTTATTTGAGAGAGAGAGAGAGAGCGCGCGCACAAGTAGGGAGAGGGGTCAAGGGAGAGAGAGAAGCAGACTCCCCACTGAGCGCGGACCCTCGG